TTAGGGATGTCATGAGAACTGATACTTTGGTACCAAAATACTGCTTGACAGTACTCGTGTTGCTACAGAACGAAAAAAATAAGTATCGTAGTGCCCTGAAAATGTTCTTTAAACTCACTATAGCTGGTCCCTATTTTTCCTGAATGGGTACCAACCATGGATGTATTAAAGATAATTGGATACAGCGTTGGAGGGCCCTGTTCATTCTTATGAGAGTTTCTCAGTGGCGCATGAAGCCAAAAAGACCTGTCAAAGTACCCATATGTAATAATACATAATAATAATACATGTTATTTATATAGTGCTTTTCCTGGTGCTCAAAGCACTTACATGTAGGCCCACAGAGCATGCACAGATGAGTGTTTCCTTAAACCCCACCGCCTCCTATATCCTGCTCTCGTCAAATGAACGGAGAGAAAGGCTGAAGGCATACATTCAACAACAACACTTAAAATACATTAAAAGTTAGGGAAAAGAAGGTGGCTGATCACAAGATTATAGCATTCTTAACCCTTAGATGCATAAGTGGGTCTTTTTTGACCCGGTGAGGTGGTTTTCTTAGAGTATCTTTGTAATTACATTTTTTTATCATTTCATATTCCAGCTATTCCTCAAAAAACATATTTTGGATATCATGCCATTCACATTTAAAATTGACATTTGATACTTTTTAAGAAATTGTAGTTTTTGTATTACTACCCCTACACTCTTCCATAAGTGGGTCAAAAATGACCCGCATGCATTTTCTATGGAATTTCGTTTTTTTTTCAAAATGTAAAAATAATGTCTAAAATTATAAATAGTGAAAAATTAAATATAAAATATTTCTAGTGTGAACCAAAATGTAATACTAAATATTAATACGGGTCCTTTTTGACCCACTTATGGAAGAGTGTAGGGTCCAGTCACTCGTGCATCCAAGGGTGTTAAACAGCTAAACACAAAACTGGCAATGAATAAACCATAAGTAAGTATATCGTGTTAGGAATGTATTTCACAGACTCAAATGAAGTACCATATATCTTCAGAATATATACTGCCATACTTCAGAAGGACCGAATCCCTCTTGAATATGAATGAAGACTCATTAAACAGGTGTTGACACTGTTTGTAAAATAAAAAGTCAGAATGGCAAAAGAACATTTTCAAAATCTCATAGCAAGGAAATTAAGTTATCAAAGGCTAATGATTGTCATATCTTTCAGACATACATTGTGGTATAATTATCACTCATCAAATGACTCTGTATTCAGCTTTTAGACCATTTCACACATTTGAGACCCTCATGATTTAAATAAGGGCTATAAAAGTGTGTGTAGCTGCTGATTTACAGATGTCTTTTTCCACTCTAAGTCAATGGGAAAAGTATTTTGGGCCCATTGGGGTCACGGACTGACGCATAACTTGTAGTACCAACGTTTGTCAACCACAGAAATTTGGGACCAACATGTAACAGCTGATGTGCCTCCGGAGGTAGATAGTCGTCCACTTGGAGAGTCTGTGGTTTGGTTCATGTTTTTATTTAATATGCAGGAATTTCTTCTGTCTTTTTGTGCCTGAAAACAGGTCAGAATTAACAGTGGATTAATCCCAACCAGCTGCCTATTTCTGTTTCAGTCATGTCGCCAAACCTGGGTCAGTCATGTTAATTAGTTCTTGGGCTAGTAACTTCCCCCCAAAACCTCCCAAGGACATCTGAGTGTGTGTGAATGCATCAAATACTTGAACCTGCACAGATTAGATTTGCTGTCCCACTTGTTGGTGTTAACTCCTTCTAGTGATGGGAATTACGGCTCTTTGGAGGGAGCCGGATCTTATGGCTCCGTTCCTTAACGAGAGCCGTTCAAAAGAGCCGTTTTTTTAAAGTGGAGATTATTCGTTGACCCTGCTTTAAATGATATTTTGGCTTTACAAATGTTGCACTCCGCTTTATCATTGCCTATGTTTTTGTTGAAGTGCATCCAAATGCTGCTGCGTTTTCGCGTTTGGCTTCACCCGAAGAACACGTCGTCTACCTGTACCACTTGTTATGACTTCTCTCTCTCTCATGCGTATTCCGTTAAGACCCACCCCTACTCTGCCTCTGATTGGCTAACCCTAACCCACAACATCTCACTCCTTGTGCCTAAACCTAACCAATCAGAGTAGGGGCGGGTCTTCACGGAATAAGCTTGGGGAACAAAATCAAGCTTTTTCACTGTTCACGTGAAGGCGAGTGGATTTATGGCAGGCAGTGAACCAACGATAAAAAGAACGGCTCTCAACAAGTACGACTCGGTTCCCTTCGTTCGTACCAAAGAGCCGTTCAAAAGAATCGGATCGTTCGCGAACGTAACGTCACTAACTCCTTTAAAAAGACAGCAAATAAACCAAACTGTTAATGTCCTTTTTAAAGTGAATACATCAAATTGTTTGCCAGTTTGTTTGCATCTTCCCGTGCAAACAGCCCGCCTCACAGTGAGTCTTTATCTCTTATCATTGCTTGGTTTGATTTCCAAAGACAGCTGAAGCCTCCGAGGATCTCAAACCGAGCACCAGAAGCTTTAATTTGGTCAACATGTTTTTCCCTCCTTCCTGGCAGCCTCTGCTTTCTTTCTTCTTCTCATTCAGACGGTCAATTAAATCAATTTGTAGCTGTAGGTGAGTCATGAGGATGAACAGCAGGTCTTCTTTAAGGCTATTTTAGTCATCAATGAATGTTCACAATAGCTTCAGCGTGGTTGTGCAGCATACAAGATACTGAAGACATACCAAAAAAAGTACATCCTATAGTGCTAGTGCAAAATGGTGCAAGTAAAGTATGTGTCTTGAATACAATGAAATGAACAAAATGTGAATGAAATACGTTACAGTGGAATGAAATACTACTTAGTGCAATTATACATAAATATCTGGGGCTGTTTTCACTCTTAAATGTTGCGTTTAGGGGCTTGTGAAAAAACCCATTTACAAATTAAAAACATGTGCAACACTCGGCAATGATTAGGAGAATTTAAATGGTTGTATGTCCGCCCACATCCTCCCCTCCGAGACCGAGATTACATTTGGAAATTTGCAGGAGAGAAAGACAGATTTCTGCAGAGAAACACCCAGAGGGAGGACTGTGTCCGGCAAGTGTTTCATTTCCTTTAGCTTCCTTTAGCTTCCTTTAGCTGACTCACAGCTGCACGGAAAGAGGAATTATCTGCAGAGAACAGTCCCTGGTGAGAGGCATGAATATTTAATATGTATTGATTGATTCCTTCTCTTCAACACCCAGTACTCTGAAACCAAGCCATGCCTGCAGAGTGTCAGATGTTAGAGGAGAGGAGAGAGGAGAGAGGAGGAGAGGAGGAGAGGAGGAGAGGAGAGAGGAGGAGAGGAGGAGAGGAGGAGAGGAGGAGGAGAGGAGGAGGAGAGGAGAGAGAGGAGGAGAGAGAAGAGGAGGAGAGGAGGAGAGAGGAGAGGAGGAGAGAGGAGAGAGGAAGTAGATCCTGCAGCTGCTCTCAGACAGGAATCACGTGAACAACGGGAATACTAGAGGGGCTTTTTTATTTTTTTGGCTGCACCTTGATGATTGTTTCTCTTGGATCCATGATTTCTAAGGTCTAAGGGTCTATGATGTACACACTGAAGAGCTACCTCAGACCAAAGTGAATATGTGGTATTGGGCCCTTTAACCTGTTAAGCCCGAGAGACCCCGTACCGGGGCCCTCCCGCAACATCTTGCAGGAAACAGTGTCTGAGGGCATGTTCATTTAATAAACTATGAATGTTTTATATCCATGTAACGGGAAGAAACTCATCTAACTGATCATTTTTTATTTTCTTTTCAAAATAAAACCCACAATGCTAACGCTGAGCCTCTGAATTAGCAACGAGCGAAAAATGCTAACAGATTACTGCACCGAAAATCACTCACAAAACCTTATTATTTATCTTTTCACCACATCCATGACATCGATTCACATCGTGAGGTGACACAGAATTGATGGGTACATACATTATCACTGAATTATACGAAATGGCGACTTTATAAACAAAAACAGACATCAAAACATGTGGCACTAGGTAGCTAAAAACGCTAACATGGTTTACCTGTGTCGTAGTCTGGTCAAAAGTGGTCTTCAATGGCATTAAAACGATAAAAACGCTGCTGAAGTTAATCCATAGGTTAATCCAATGTGTCTGTGTCCCTTTGAAATGATTTCTGATAATCCATAAGCAATAAAACTGCTTTTCCGTTTCCAGATGTCAGAGCGAGAGATTGCAAACTGCATGCGGGAAGCCCCCACCTTTTTTTTACCGTGTGTGTGTGGGAGCCTCCCCCTTCGATTATATTGGCTCTAACGGTCAGAAAGAGGTGTCAATCACCAAAATCGACCAATGGGTTCCAGAGATATGGAAAATCCACCCAAATGACCCCAGAAGTGGTTTCTTTTTGCTAAATCTCTCTAAAAAGGTCAAATGTCACTTGTTTTGCATCAATCTTGATACAGGGTACTTATTATATGTTGTACTTTGGATTCCTAAAGCTTTTAGTCTACCTTACCATCATCCAAGGGTAGTTTTCACTATAAGTAAAAAATAATTTTTGGACGGACACTATAATTGACAGTTTTTTACTATGTAAAATCTGAATTTTCTTTAAAATAAAAAACATCTATATTGATTCTGACTTTTCTACATCCAACTCACAGGTTTATCATTACTTTGAGAAAAAAGATTATTAATTTAACCCTTTTAGAAGGGAAGATATGGTCATTTGTTCTGGGAATGGCATTTTCGAGCCTGAGACCTGAAAAACAGGCTCAGGGCTTAACAGTTTAAGTTCTCTACAGTTTGATTGATTAATGCTATATTGATGTCTCTCTGCAGAGAATGACCTGCTCTCTCTCTCTCTCTCTCTCTCTCTCTCTCTCTCTCTCTCTCTCTCTCTCTCTCTCTCTCTCTCTCTCTCTCATCTATCTCTCTCTCTCTCTCTCTCTCTCTCTCTCTTTGTCTCTGTCTCTGTGTTTCAGGGCCTGCCGGCTGAAGAAAAAGGCGCAGCACGAAGCAAACAAGATCAAACTGTGGGGGCTCAACCAGGAGTACGGTCAGTGCTGCGGATCAAACACAAAACACACAACTAACAGGGATTATTATTACCAGGTTTTTACTTAATGGGGAGGAGTGTGTGTGTGTGTGTGTGTGTGTGTGTGTGTGTGTGTGTGTGTGTGTGTGTGTGTGTGTGTGTGTGTGTGTGTGTGTGTGTGTGTGTGTGTGTGTGTGTGTGTGTGTGTGTGTGTGTGTGTGTGTGTGTGTGTGTGTGTGTGTGTGTGTGTGTGTGTGTGTGTGTGTGTGTGTGTGTGTGTGTGTGTGTGTGTGTGTGTGTGTGCTGAATGAGGTGTGATTGGATGATTGACTCGTAGTATGTAAAGAGCTTTGAGGGGTCCAAAAGTGCTATAAAGCTCTTTATAAGTACAGACCATTTACTCTTCTGATAGTTAAGAAGCTTGCTCTGTAGTTAGAAAACACATTTTTTTTTAAATTGTAAATCCGGTGTCTTCAGCAGAGATATATATAGAGTGTTAATGACTTTTTCTAGGGAAGAGAAAACAAATGGTGATGTATTTAATTATTGTCTCACTCCGCAGCAGAAACTGTCATTAAGAATGAAATCACAACGCAGACAAATGACTGATATCCACGAACACACAAACAACTCATCTCACAGCAGACTACTTATCCAATCTGTATTTATAATTAGAATCAAATGAAGCTATAATTACAACTTTAAGGACATTTTGAAATCATGTTTCTGCAGAGATGATGTTAACAAGATAATTATCACTCTGTCAGCGCCCCCTCCTCCCCCTCTCCCCCTCCTCCTCCTTCAACCCCACCAACTTCCTTTGTCCCGTTTTCCCCATTTTTTTCAACATTCCAGTCATTCCCAGCGTTTCATAGCGAAGGCTTTAGTCGTTGCTCCGTTGGCAGAAAGCCAAAACACACACACACAGCGCTGAACTTCACACATCTCCTCATTTCCTTTATCCCTCCGCTGACTCTTTCTTCTTCTCTCCTTCGTTTTCTTTAACTCTCTCTCTCCATCGCTGTGGTTTGCATCTTTACAAAACGAGCTCTGCATGATCAGCAGAGACTCAACTTCAAAGAAGAAGCTCATTGGTGTCAGGCCAGAGCCTCCTGGTGTGTGTGTGTGTGTGTGTGTGTGTGTGTGTGTGTGTGTGTGTGTGTGTGTGTGTGTGTGTGTGTGTGTGTGTGTGTGTGTGTGTGTGTGTGTGTGTGTGTGTGTGTGTGTGTGTGTGTGTGTGTGTGTGTGTGTGTGTGTGTGTGTGTGTGTGTGTGTGTGTGTGTGTGTGTGTGTGTGTGTGTGTGTGTGTTAAAATGTTCCATTGTCAGCCAAACAACAGTGTCATGGCAGCTGCATTGATGTGTTCATGTCAAGCAGTGGAGCATTGTAAAACACAGACATTCAAACTCGACATAAACACAATAACACTCACTTAAATGTGCCGGATCGAGTGCAGAACATTACATTATCAAAACAAAATGTCACGAAATCTTGCAAGGAGTGTGTTAAACTTCCCTTAAGCTCCGGTGATACATGCTAACTATCCTAAGAGCTACTACTCATCCAATCACTGATAGGCACAAATATAAGGGAAAATGTGGCGGCTCTCTGTGTTGTTTTTATCCCACTGTTTCTACGTCTGCAGTGTATTTTTTGTTAGACAAACAATCAATTTAAATTCATTAAAATGACAACAATCCATCTGTTTCAAGATGGTAACACTCCATTTGCAAACTAAGCTAACACTCTTGTGAGAATTGCTGCCTGACAAACATATCCCAATTATTACTAGAGGTCAGTGATTAACCGAAATCATCTCCTGTAAGTTTGCTCAAATCGAGGGTTACCATGTCTACACGCCCCCCCCCCCCCCCCCCATAAAACACCCACAATACTCATCCAATCACTGATATAGTTGTGCATCGTGTGTGTATACAACATATGATGTCCCTCTGTGTGCCTGCCCTTTTGGTTTTCTATAGAGACAGACCATGAAATTAGCAAAATAGTAAACATGTAACAATAGGAAACACACACTCCACATAAATACTTGGTGAGTCTTTCAAATGCTCCAACATCACAAGCTCTGGTTGGTCCGAAATAACAGCTTCATTCACACAGTTGGATGTCAAAGTGTGCCGTCTCTACACGCGGTTTTTGGTCATAAATTGACAAAAAATCTGGCAAAAATGTTTGCTCGGCAAGCTCCTGTGAAACAAAGTGTCCTAACCTTTATTAGATAACAATCTACTTCATCCATTTCACAAAAAGAGGGTAACCTTCTAGACAGAAATGTCCCAGAAAGCAGTAATTATATTCCCACAGTCACCCAACACCATAGTGTGTGTTTGTGTGTAAAGAAATGGTACGACCCGCTGTGTACACACACACTCTCTCTCTCTCTCCCTCCCTGCTGACACGAGCGTTGGACAAAAGAGGAATCAGATCTATGCATCGCTGACAGGAGGGGGGTGTCATGGCGCCATCAGGTCACATGACCTCACAGAGGAGGAGGCCAAACTCACAGAAGGGACGATGAGTCCGAACAAAACCCTCTGACACCTAAAGATGTTCAGCAGTGTGAGAGCTGGTGGTCTAACGCTGTAAACCAAAATGAGTCCCACTTTATCAATCCTTTAGAATCAGAATGTTTTATCTGCAAAGCAGAAAGTGCTGAGGAAAGGAGTCAATAACATATTAAATAAATAAGGGAACATTAATGAAACATTTATTCTGCTGATGTTCAGGTGTATATCAGTATGTAGTGTCTCTACTTTAAAGAGTTCTCTCCTGCTGATGTTCAGGTGTATATTGGTATGTAGTGTCTCTACTTTAAAGAGTCCTCTCCTGCTTATGTTCAGGTGTATATCAGTATGTAGTGTCTCTACTTTAAAGAGTCCTCTCCTGCTGATGTTCAGGTGTATATCAGTATGTAGTGTCTCTGCTTTAAAGAGTCCTCTCCTGCTTATGTTCAGGTGTATATCAGTATGTAGTGTCTCTACTTTAAAGAGTCCTCTCCTGCTGATGTTCAGGTGTATATCAGTATGTAGTGTCTCTACTTTAAAGAGTCCTCTCCTGCTGATGTTCAGGTGTATATCAGTATGTAGTGTCTCTACTTTAAAGAGTCCTCTCCTGCTGATGTTCAGGTGTATATCAGTATGTAGTGTCTCTACTTTAAAGAGTCCTCTCCTGCTGATGTTCAGGTGTATATCAGTATGTAGTGTCTCTACTTTAAAGAGTCCTCTCCTGCTGATGTTCAAGTGTATATCAGTATGTAGTGTCTCTACTTTAAAGAGTCCTCTCCTGCTGATGTTCAGGTGTATATCAGTATGTAGTGTCTCTACTTTAAAGAGTCCTCTCCTGCTTATGTTCAGGTGTATATCAGTATGTAGTGTCTCTACTTTAAAGAGTCCTCTCCTGCTGATGTTCAGGTGTATATCAGTATGTAGTGTCTCTACTTTAAAGAGTCCTCTCCTGCTGATGTTCAGGTGTATATCAGTATGTAGTGTCTCTACTTTAAAGAGTCCTCTCCTGCTGATGTTCAGGTGTATATCAGTATGTAGTGTCTCTACTTTAAAGAGTCCTCTCCTGCTGATGTTCAGGTGTATATCAGTATGTAGTGTCTCTACTTTAAAGAGTCCTCTCCTGCTGATGTTCAGGTGTATATCAGTATGTAGTGTCTCTACTTTAAAGAGTCCTCTCCTGCTGATGTTCAGGTGTATATCAGTATGTAGTGTCTCTACTTTAAAGAGTCCTCTCCTGCTGATGTTCAAGTGTATATCAGTATGTAGTGTCTCTACTTTAAAGAGTCCTCTCCTGCTGATGTTCAGGTGTATATCAGTATGTAGTGTCTCTACTTTAAAGAGTCCTCTCCTGCTTATGTTCAGGTGTATATCAGTATGTAGTGTCTCTACTTTAAAGAGTCCTCTCCTGCTGATGTTCAGGTGTATATCAGTATGTAGTGTCTCTACTTTAAAGAGTCCTCTCCTGCTGATGTTCAGGTGTATATCAGTATGTAGTGTCTCTACTTTAAAGAGTCCTCTCCTGCTGATGTTCAGGTGTATATCAGTATGTAGTGTCTCTACTTTAAAGAGTCCTCTCCTGCTGATGTTCAGGTGTATATCAGTATGTAGTGTCTCTACTTTAAAGAGTCCTCTCCTGCTGATGTTCAGGTGTATATCAGTATGTAGTGTCTCTACTTTAAAGAGTCCTCTCCTGCTGATGTTCAGGTGTATATCAGTATGTATTGTCTCTACATGTCTCCATGCTTTAATGTTCAAAAAGCTCTTTATTGTTCTCATACTGTCTGTGCTGCAGCACCTCTTTTCACCCTCTGTCTGAAACCAGCGCCCACTCTGCTCTGATTGGTTAGCTGGCCAGCTCTGTTGTGATTGGTCAACCGCTTAGAAATGTCCCGCCCCTTAGCCTATCACGTACCATGTGTTGGAGCACTAGCCAATACAATGTTTCATAGTGATGAACACAGGGAACACAGGGATTTTAGCCTTTGCAGACCATTTACATGCACTAACCTATATGACACACTACAGGAAAGGAAAAACCCCAAAAAGCAGAATAGGGCCCCTTTAAAATCAAATGTTTTACAACAACAATGCCACCCTGAAAATGTGTCCCTATCACTGATTTCCTATAAATGTCAAATACCAAAAGTTAGCATTCAATGAATCAGATTCTCAATTCTTTTTTTCAGCAAATTAAAAGATATAGATAATAACAGGGATGTACTGTATGTCCCTGTATGTCCCTGTATGTCCCTGTATGTCCCTTTATGACCCTGTATGTCCCTGTATGTCCATGTATGTCCCTGTATGTCCCTTTATGACCCTGTATGTCCCTGTATGTCCCTTTATGACCCTGTATGTCCCTTTATGACCCTGTATGTCCCTGTATGTCCATGTATGTCCCTGTATGTCCCTGTATGTCCCTGTATGTCCCTGTATGTCCCTGTATGTCCCTGTATGTCCCTGTATGTCCATGTATGTCCCTGTATGTCCCTGTATGTCCCTGTATGTCACTTTAGCACTACTTTATTTCTATGTCCTCCTGCAGTACATTTCATTTCTTTGTATGCCTTAAGCTTATTATATATTGCATTGTTAGAGGAGCCTGGGACTTTCATTGCCAAACTGTATTATGCACATGACAATAGAGCCTTTGAATCTTTTGAATGTTGGGATGAACGTGACTTCATCAAAAGAATGTACTTGTATGTTATTAGTTATATATTAGAACAACACCAGAGGGATGTATTAGAAAAGATCAGACATGCAAAAGGATGTTGAACACAGAATACCCATTAACTAATGCAATGGACGTCAAACTAAAGCCATCTTCTATCCTGTGAGCGTCTGATTTAAGGTTTTGAGATGAAAATAATAATGTATTTTTGTTCTGTGTGCAGAGAGCCTGCTGGGAGCGCTGCTGAGGATCAAAGAGGTGATCCGGCTGCGGGTGGAGAGCAGCGAGGAAGAGGAGGAAGACGAGCGAGGGATGACCCAGCGGCTGGAAGACATCCTGCGAGAGTCCAGCGGTGAGAAACACATAGAAAACTAAAAGAAACGCAAACGTGTTGTCCTGTTGTGTGATACATCAACAATCCTCAAAATCTTTGATGAAGCTCAACACCCATTGATGTACACACAATGGTGTAACCCTAACCCTATTTTATTCAACATAAAACATACCGAGCTTAAAAAAGGTCTAGGTTGTTAACTTAAAGTGGACCTATCATGCTATATTTGAATAATATAGTGTAGGACCATACCTATATAAGGCATATTTATATATATATTTTTTTTCAAAATACCAAACAGATCATGCATTTTAGCCATGCCTCATTTCGCTCAATTTGACAATTTCTAGCTCTGTTTGTGTAAGGGCTGATTCAGTGAGAACAGCACCACCTAGAGGCCTGGCATATGTACTACAGCGTCTCCAGCGCTTTCGAACGGCAATGGCCGTGGCTGTCTCCTCCTGATTGGTGGAGTTGGCCCAATAGCCGTAGCGCCACCGTCCTGACGTCAGGACAGTGTTCAAATCTGGATCAGTTTTTATCAGATCCGTTGCAGCCCCTTTTTTAGAGATTTGGGTATGGAGGAAAATAGAGAGGGTTGTGTTTTCTGACACTTGGTGAGTTCCCTGGAACACCGGGGACACATATTCATGTAGAAAAGACGTACACAAGTGCATTTTGCATGATAGGTCCCCTTTAAGTTAATATGACGATTTCTTGTCTCAAATCACATTCTTCCCCTCCTCCTCCTCTTCTTCACTCCTGCAGGTCCTTTAGTTGCCGGGCGGACCAAAGACTTTGTGCAGAGGATTTTGGCGGCTAGTGCGAGCAGCCAAATCCAGAAAGAGTCTCCGCGGGGGGGCGAGGAGGTGGAGGGCTAAAGTCACCTAAACATCCACTTCCTCCTCCATCTTGCCACTTCTTCCCCTTCCTGCACCAACCAACCAAGCAGTGAGACCTGAGGAGCTACTCTTCTTCCTCTTTCGCTGTAAAGGGAGGAAGAGGCGGAGGAAAAACACCAACATGGTGTCCATTTCCAACATCACCATCAGGCCAGATCTGCTGCTGCTGCTGCTGCTGCTGCTGACGTCTCTGTATTCTGTCTGTGAGTGTGTGTGTGAGTGAGAATGTGTGTGTGTGTGTGTGGACATGTATATACATCCAGTATGAGCGTCCCTCTCGCCCTCTGTGTGCTGTATTTGTTTCCCAGTGTGCCTATGAATAGACATTGCACTGTTTTCGTAGATTGGTCTTAGTTTTTACTCGGCAGGGGGGCCGGTAGTGAGGCGAGGGCGAAGGGGTGCATCTGAGGATAGAGGAAGTGCAAAAAAAGAATAAGGAAGTGGGAGGAGCACAAGCCTGTGAGACAAAGAAGCGGGTGTGTGTGTGCTTTTTTAGTTTTTCGTTGGCCCTATAGAAGCACTTCATACCATTGGGGTTGCATCAGAGAAGTGAGAAGTGACCGAGTCCTGTAAGGCAGCAGCTGTTAATGGAAACTACCGGCTGTTTGTTGTGGAAAAAAAAAAGTCCCCGCAGCTTTAATCCCTAAACTTAACTCCCCTTCGAAATGAAAGTTAAAGAGCAAACTGCACCTTAATCCAAGCTGACCAAAGATATACTGCTGAAACCACTCGACACCAAACCATCAACACATCCTCCTGTTCTGCAAAGTGAATACAGTGTTGACCCGCGTCCTTTAAAGCAGTGATTTTCCACCAGTGTGCCGTGGGAAACTGTCCAATTTCACTTCATCTGTCCCAAAACATATGATGTAGTTGCTGCAAATGAAATCCAACAGTGTCATGGTCCTAAGATTCACTGAAGAGACGTTTACTTTAATTACATGTGTTATTTTAACACACGTCACATGAGGTAAGCAATGATATTAAGTTGAACCTCATATGTTTGACTTGATATTAGCTAATACATATGTGAAATCTATTGACGCAATACATTTCATTAAAGTCAACGTTTCAGCTTAAACAGCATCTCACAAAACACCTGTAGCTTTAAGACAACAACACGGATGATTTAATGCTAACTGAGAAACAGGTCACTTTAATAAAACACAGAGAGAAATCTCTCAAAGCTACTGAGGAGATGAACTCTCCACCAAATTGAGAGACTTGCCACTAAAATATCATTATACAGTATATATGCTTTATAAGGCTTACATGTGTCATTCTTTGTTTTTTTATTAATGGCTTTATTCACGGCTCAGAAAAGGTTGAAAAACTCTGCTTTAAAGGATGACGTAACATTTGAATTCCCTTCTCCTCGAATGCACTACGGCCTGAGAGTGTGGTGTGACAGACAGGAAATGACTGACACTTTATTATTTCGCCTTTTACTAATCTGCACTGGCTTTAACCCTCAAAGGGAAGTGTCCTGAATGTTCCTGAATGTCCCCCCGAGCCCTCTCCTCGACCCCTGCCCTGATTATGTAGCGCACATTCCTGAATTGCAATGACGAAGAGAGAAAAAACACTTGTAGATCTAGAAAGCAAATAATTAGTTTTTTTATCATTATGTTGTTGTTATTCGACCCCCCGTAGCGGGCGTCAGTCTGTTGAACTCTGCCTTTCTTCTGTGGTCTTTTCTGAAGCTGTAGACCAACCTGTCCACGGTCTCTAAATGTTGTTGGACGTAAAACTAAGGTAAAGGACCCTTTGAATTGCACTGTGGTAAGAGCAACTAAGCACCTTTTTTTAAAAGAGGGCTTTGAAAAAGACTCTGTAGTCGGCACCTTTTTGTCTAAAGACAGATATTGATTGAGAGGCTTTGTTTCGGTGCTACTGTACGATGTAAAAAATAAAAAAAGCAATGCAAACCTGAGCGAGGCAGAAACTGCTGACTGGGTTTTGGCCTGCGAGCGTCCTGTAATAGGCAGTGTGTTTGCATAATGACGCCTTTCTGAAGTGCCTGGAGCTTAGGGACCTGTGTTATTATGCCTGATCTTAAACCCTATTACAAGGTGAAGAGTAACCCATGACTACTGCTCTCAGCCTGGCCTCACTTGACTCGGAGAGAAAGAAAAAAGCGATCCTATATTCAACCAAAATATTTCCCCTGCAGATTAAATCCTATACTTTGAACTGGCACCGGTTTCTGTGAACTTCCACTCTGGGAACTATATGTCAAGGGACGGCTGTTTGTTTTTCAACCTTGACGAGTTTCTATCTGGGCTTCGTTCCAAAGCTCTGCAACGCGTCGGTCCTCCTATGGAAAACTCCACTTCCTGTCAGAGGAACTTTCAACCCTTCACCTCCCCGTGGTCTGAAAAGCTGTGGACACAACAGTTCAAAGCGGATTGTTTCTGCAGCTCTTTCTGTTTTGTTTTCTTGGAAAATGTCGCTCATGAGCGCAGTAATGTCAACAGAGTGGTGACTGATGCCAGAGACTGATAGTGAGACGCAGCAGCACGAGGCTCTGATAAAGAGGACGGTAGGATTGTTTGGTGTGGGGTTATATGAGGTACTCAGCTGAGGACCGAGGCAACGGCAAAAAAATGTTTTTTAGCCGAATAAAAGGACGTCCTTTTTTTACTACTGCAGTGACACAACTTCCAATAGATTTAAACAGACTTATGGACTGTCTAACTTTTAATGTATACACAGTTTATGTGTGTAAAGTTTTGACTAGTTTCATTCTAATAAATAAACAAATCAAAACATAAAATGACTTAACATGACCATGTTATCAAAGAAGTACAGGTTTTATGAATGGAGTCTGGTGGCATTGAAAAGAGCATAGATGGATTTATAACTGCTTGTCGTTCCCTGGACGAAAAAGCTGTCTTATGGCAAAATCAAGCAGTGAACATTTTCAAAAAAGAGCCTACACTTAAACTCATATTGGTTTTTTAGTTTCTAAAATGTGTTGCCGCTGCCTTTGTTCACAATACGTTGATTCACTTCCAAACTGGGACCTACTGTAGGTGATACACTGACTCTAGACGAGTACTTTATACAACCCCACTTAGAATCCAAACCCTCCCTTTAAACGTCACCACATGAACGTGGTCGGGTTTACTTTACAAGTTTGAGAAAAAACTCAACAACAAACAAAGAGAGGAAACGGCAGAAAACAACCGAACATATCGGTGAAGACTCAAATGCTCCCATCTGTCACTTCAGAGGAGGACGGGGTCTCTGGGTTTCGGAGCGATTCCACTTTGAATGCATAAGTTCGTGCTGATGTTTTCCCTCCTCCAAAGTGGTGTTACGTAACACAAACACCATCTGCTGTGTGCATGCATCTATATGCCAAAAACTGTTGAATTTCAGCAACAGATCCAAACAAGACAAGACGCCGGATTAAACGCGACTAGTGAAGCACGTGTGAGGGCTTTGGCTCACACTGTAGCATTACTTTTTCAATACACACTTTTGTATCCCTTTAACTGTAAAGCTTTAATGGGTGCGTTGCCAGTTTTTGGCAAAGCCACGTCTCCGCTCACATTCCTGACTCACTTTCCCAGAAAAGTCTCTGTTTGTGTACCTGGAAACGGATTTAGCGAGGGGAACGACCCAAAGATGTCTCTGTGGTCTTTAGGCTCATTACTGAACCCAGGAAGTGCTGGTGGGTTAAACTCAGCCAAGTCTGACCTAATTCAGACAATGACTCTGCACAAACTGGATAATCTTATCAGAGTCACTTCCTCCTCGGATAACAGAGAGACCTAAACAGCCCTGAAGCTTTTCACTCTGATGTTTTCCAAGGAAGTGAAAGGGAGAGTTTGTGTGTCCTCATAATGAAAGTTGGATTCATCCCAGCTGCTGGCAGACAGGAGGTTTGGCTCAACTTCTGTTTAAGTGAAGCTGCTAAAGAAGAGATCTGTGTTTTAAAACCATTAACTCAAGTCTGGTAGCATTTGGCTGTTATCCATCTTCTCTCAGTCACTTCTGAGGATTACTATTCAGTATTTCGCAAGGACGTGCTTTCTTTTATAGGTGGCTGTAGTGCTGAAACAAATCAATGCAACTCGAAAATCTACCGAGTCCTTTGTTCTGAGGCTCCTTTCTGTAGAGATCAGTAAGAGCTGTCTTCACACTTAGAGGTTTCAAATACTGTTTGAATGATTCAAAATCTACTCTGCCTCTGTGAGGATATCAAATTCCAAGGTTAGGAAAACAGTCCTGCCTGCAGATAAGCGGCTAATTGAGATCATATTGAGCTTATATTAGAATTTGCTGCACTCTTTAGAAATGGACATATGTGGGTGCTTAACCAACACAGGCTCTTCGAAACCCCTTCAATTCAGAATCATCAAATCAATAATATTCAATGTTAGTTACATCTAAATTTGCCTGAAAAAGGTATTACCCTTGAATGTGCCCGAGTTAGACGTGGAGAGGGAAGCTTTAGTATCGGTAACCACATTATAAACGGCAACTGTGGGTTCAGTTTGCTTGTAAAACACCAAAAATGTCAACAAAGAAGACTTGATTTAAATAGTAAACGTGTTATTGAAGTACAAAATGCTTGAGGACATCTGATCCGTGACGTGACAGAAGGTGAAGCAGCCAAATCTGCTAGACAACAAAACATTTGGATTAGGATTAATTACTTCAATCATTTTTAAGCTTATATTTGAATTTGCTGCATTTTATATCCGTATAAATTGAACATATTTAGGTGCTAAACCAACAGAGGCTCTTTGAAACCCTTCCATTGGACTCTGAGGACTTATGATGGGCATTTTCACCATAAAAAATAACCAACGAATCAATACAATTCACTCTAAATTGCACCTTAATTTGCCTGAAAACAGCTTCCCACCTTGAAAAGATTCATTACCAGTGCTAGTAAACTTGTCTTAAAGGTCACCTATTATGCAAAATCCTCTTCTTCATGTCTCTTCTACATCAACATGTGTCCCCTCTTCTTCATGTCTCTTCTACATCAACATGTGTCCCCTCTTCTTCATCAACATGTGTCCCCTCTTCTTCATGTCTCTTCTACATCAACATGTGTCCCCTCTTCTTCCTGTCTCTTCTACATCAACATGTGTCCCCTCTTCTTCATGTCTCTTCTACATCAACATGTGTCCCCTCTTCTTCATGTCTCCTCTACATCAACATGTGTCCCCTCTTCTTCATGTCTCTTCTACATCAACATGTGTCCCCTCTTCTTCATGTCTCCTCTACATCAACATGTGTCCCCTCTTCTTCATGTCTCTTCTACATCAACATGTGTCCCCTCTTCTTCATGTCTCCTCTACATCAACATGTGTCCCCTCTTCTTCATGTCTCTTCTACATCAACATGTGTCCCCTCTTCTTCATGTCTCTTCTACATCAACATGTGTCCCCTCTTCTTCATGTCTCTTCTTCATCAACATGTGTCCCCTCTGTGTAAAGAGACTCTGAAAGTTTCAGGAACAAAGATTCTCTCTCTTTTTGTCCTGATCCATTTTTATAAAAACCTGTCTGAAAATGAGCTGATCAGATTATGGACACTTTATGATGTCATAACGATTTGTTGGCTTGTGTAACCATTAGCCAATCAGCCACCAAGGTAACCCCCCCCCCACCTTATCACCTGAATCTCCTCCTAGAGCACCATTGAGTTCTTTGTAACCAAATCTCTCTCAGAGGGGCGTGGGGAGGGGCTCCTTATTTTCATCTGAAGTAACAGACAGAGAATCAGCACTTTGGAAACAGGGCTGAAACAGAGGGGATTATGGGATGCTGCAATGATCTGTTTGGTGTTTCAGCCAATCAGAGACAGGTTCTGTATATATCTGAGACCTGTAATATATTGATGAAGAACAGTATAATAGGGGACCTTTAAAATATCCAGAGTCTAAAGCAGCGTGTTAAACACTAAGTTGTAAGACGAGGACAGGGAGACACTGTTGTCCTCTCTCCTTTTTCACCTGAATAGACCCATCAGTAACCAACACTGGTGGGACACTGCTGACCTCCAGGTGACCCCCCCCCTTCTCGATAATGGCGCTCACATTGTCTGACACATTGTGGAGCGTCTCCGGTTTCAAAGAGGCCGGGCAAAACGGCACTTAGCCTCCGAATAGTTTATCAGAAACCTCTTGGGTCGCGTTCACACCAGCCTCGCTTAGTCCGGGTGAATCCAACCCTGGTGCGCACCGAAAGAAAGGAAGCGTAATATTTTATGTCTTTAAAATCTTTAGCGAAAGAGTGAAGCAGAATGAAGTGTTGAACAGTGTCGTGCAAAGTCAAAATGCTCCATCAATAATACATAAAAGTCAGGTACATGCAGCAAAATATAACATTTTAACAGGTTAATAACCACAAGGAGGTAAAAGGTATGATAATACAAATACAATAAATAATGATTTCTCTCAAGACACAAGACAACTGAGTCTAATAGCGGCATAAAAATATGCTGCCGATGCTCCAAAGCTACGGTAGAAATTGCCGGGATTTGCGTTAATTAACCCCCTTAATGTCTGACCAATGGTTGAACAGCATTTCCGAGCACATGACTTGTGTTTAAAGTTTATAGTCCGTTTGAGTTTTGCCCGTGTGAACGCAAACCGAACCTTCTGACAAATAAAACAATTGAACAAACTGTCGTCTGGTGCGCTCCAAGGAAGCGACTTTTAGGTGTGAATGCGACCTAAATCTCCACCTCCCTCTGACAGCTGTAGAGGAGGAAGAGGAGGAAGAGGAAGAGTATGTTTCTTGATGCTAGCGTCCTCTTTGTCGCTGATGAGGAAAACCTCCATCTGGGAGAGAAGTTGGATTTGGAAAGGTTCAGTGTTCGAGCTTCTGGTCCTCGTTGAGTATCAGTGAAGCTTCAGTGTGCGCCTCTCATGTCTCATCACTACCTTTTTAAGGTCAAGCTTTAAGC